ACTGCAAAGTCTCCCAGAGCACACTTCTCCAGGGCTGTTGCCTGCTTGTTTTTTCTCATTTTTTTTTAAGACTCTTATCACTGTCTCGAAAGCCTTCTCCCACCCCCATCATCCCCAACTTTACCCATTTACATCATAGTCACTGTTTGGTGCTTCCTAGGGCCTTTTGTTCACTCTGGTTCTTGCAGCTTGGATACAAACAGCTCCCAGTCCTCTGGAAAGCATTCATTTTTTATTCTGAGGGGAGGGTAGGGGCCCTAGGCTTCCTCCCAGCTTTGCCCATTGAAATTCAGTGCCAGTGTAGTGGGTGAGGAAGGGCAGGTGGGTTGGGAAGTTAATATAGTCTCTTTTCAGTGCCTAGATGTGAAGGTGAGGTGAAATTCCTCGGACAAGGGGCCCTGAGGGAGAGAGGAAAGGAAGGCTGATGTCTTGTTTACTGCCTGCCTGGTATTTGCACGTTCATCCCTGCAGGGCTGGATGGTGTGTATGAGGAGGCAGAGGGGAATTTGTGATGCAAATCATAGCAAATACTCTGCTGGCCTTCCCTTCGCATGCCTTTGAGCATAGCTCTGCAGCATGTCTCCAATTAGGGGCTCCAGTGCCCTGTTCTTAGTAAATCTTTGCTACTTACTAAACAGTGGTAATTATGGAAGCTAAAATTGGGTGAAAGATTTCCTTGTTTAAGAGGAGGTTTCTGACATTTTTGGAGGGACAGGAATATATTTAAGAGGGAAGTTGTGAACTGTTTCCCTCCAGTGGGATGAAGGAAACTTATTTAAGAGCAGGTAACTAGATGCAAGCTTGTTTAAAAATATTCCAGAGTTGGATCGGGGCAGGTTCCTTAGTACATTACAGCTATGCTGAAAGAAGGAAACTCAGATTTGGGGAGGGGGGATTTGGCAAGTCTTAAATCATGCTTGAAGTTTTAACACCTGAGAAACAAGTATGTCTGGCACGGGTGCTCTGGGAAACAGCTTCCACTCAGTGTGTACTGTGCTCTGGGCTGAGCAAAACGTTCAGGCACAAAGCAAAAACTCAACTAAAAAATCCCCTACTGTTTTCTAGACCCTGTTTCTCTAACCTAGCACCAAATGCGCTACTCTAGGACTGGAAACAGCTTAACCCAGCAGTGCATTGAGTTACTGAGCAGTGGGTGCAGCCACCTTGCCTTCGGGACCTGGCCGTATCTCTGCACAGCACGGCCTTGCTCCCTTTCTGCTTGTTTTCTGATACCAGACAGCTCTCCTAGTGGCAAGACCACCAGGGGAAGGTCCACGTGGGGGTTTTCAAGGAAACCTGACCTTGACAAACACAGATTGAGTTCCTGGTTGATCACATAGTTCCTCCCTCCTCTCCCACTGCCCTTCTGAGCGGAGAGCGAGACTGGAAGAGCTTTGGAAGCCGGTAGTTACTGAACTGTAAAAGGGAACTGAGAAATGCTGAAGAGTATGACGGCAAGGAGCAAACAGGCAGTCTTATTCCTTTTTACTGAAGCTGCTGGGAGTCGTTTCAGGGGAACAACTCCATTGGCATCCAGGGTTCCTCTGAAACCCCAATGTGGTGCTGAACTAATGGACTTCACAGGGGAAAACTGAGGAGGAGAAAGGGAACAGTTCTGAGAGTGCTGAAATGCTCAGTGCTCCGAGTGGATTTGCCATTTCATTGTTAAGGTTTTCTCATTGTAAATGTTTGCATAATATTGTAGCTGACAGCTGAAAGGGAAGAAAGTCAGAAATCAAAATGAAAAGCTTTTGGAAATGTCCCTCAAGGAGAAGCTGGGAATGATCTTCTGGAATAAAGCCAATCTGGAAATTTCCTCTGTGAAAAGGATTCTCCAGTCTCTACACAGCTCAACACCTTAATCCCTGGCTTCTGTTTTAGGCCGACAGTACAGCCCCCACCTCCCCCGGGTGCACACAGAAGTCAAGGCAGTCAGCAATCTTAAGATACCAATTCCTGTTTTACATTTATAGCTGTTCTTGCACCATCTACTTCAGGCATTCAGCTTGCTCTGATTTACATGCCAACTCTGTCTAGTATGCAGGGAATTCAGGCTTTTCATTCTGGTTCTTTCAGTGATACCAAATATGGGTGTTGCAAATAGACTGGTCTGCAAGGCCTAGTCCTCGCTGTAAGAGCAGATGCTTGTTCCCTGGAGAGCCAGCCTGCCAGCTCCTGTGGCTGCCGCCGTGCTGCGCTCAGCACTGCCGGGGCCATCTGCCTGCCCTTCCGTGGGGTCGTGTCAAGTGTAGTCCTTCTTGGAGGACAGGCTTTCCTTAACTTTGAAATTCCCTCCAGGCTCAGGCATATGCTGCATAAAGCAGAAAGAAATCTTTCTCTTAAAATTCTTGAATTGCTTTTTTTTTCTTTTAAGTGATATACTCATGTTTGAAGTAAGACTGCTTCCCTTGCAAATTTTTCTTCGCTGAGCTGTGAAGCACCCCAGGCACATGCTCCCTTGGGGTGTGCCTGCTGAGCCACCATGTCTACGGAGTTATTCGTGGCGCAACCACCTGCCAAACGCAGGGGTACGGCCAGGTAAAGGGCCCCAAGGAGTGCAGGCAGCTGGGGCCATCCATGAGGACGCTTCCCCTGTAGTGCACCTGGGGCAGGGGCAGCAAGGGGAAAGGAGACAATGGGGAAGGTATAAGTACCAGGTAGGCAGGAAAACAAAATTTGAAAGCTCTCAGCTTCCTGGCAGTCTCTGCCCTTGATTCTATAGTGTAGGGAGTAGGTATAAAGAAACGGCTTGCTTTTTCAGAGTTGTTTGATTCACATGTTAACATTTGCCCTTCCTGAAAAATTGCTGCCCAATGCCCAGGGCAGTTCTGAGAGGCTTTTGGAAAGGGATAGCAAAGCTCCAAGGAACTTGGGAAGCTGATTTCTGCTGCAGCTCTCAAGCTTAATGCCTCAGAGATGACTGGGAGGTTGTCTCAGGTTGCAAAGAGTCCTCCCAAGGGCCTGCTGGTCTGAGGCTCAAGTTTTCTGTGCTTGATTTTCTGGGCCTTGATGGAAGCGAGGGTGAACGGCTGCCTCTGGACTGCCGGAGTTACGTCTGTGGCCCTGGTGAGGAGGCAGCCACAGGCTGGGCCTTAGAGAACGGAAATCTCTGGTTATCACTGAATTGCTCTGTGGCATTTTAGTGTTCAGGCATGTTTCGGTGTGAGTGACTTGATAAAAACGAACAGGTTCTCGAACCCTCTTGTGTCTCTCTTTCTCTCTCAAAAAAGCTGCTGGAAGCCTTTGTAGAGGTTCCAGTGGCAATTCAAGAACAATCCCCTTCCTTTGGTGACACCGGCTGCGAGAGAGGAAACGGGCTCAACCCACTACTTCCTGCCCTCAGGAACATTCCCCTACAAGCAGTCTCAGCCACAACTTCTCCATTTGTTTTCCACTCAGGAAGCTGTGCTCGAGAAGGGAAGGAACAGCGGCACTAACGTGACTGGCATGTTTTCCCGACACATGCCATTCTTGCTCATAATTGGCTTTTTGTCTCCGATCCCAGAAGTAGAATTGACAGAGGGGCAAACTTTGCAAAAATTAAAATAAATAAATAAACGAAGGAAAGGAGGACAAAATTAGAGTCCATTTGGGAGAGAGGGAGAGCTTTCTGTCCTGGGTTTGTACAGCAGCTAGGGCCAGAGGCTACTAATTTATGAATAAATTTATAACTGTCGTAAAGTAATAATATACAGTACCCTAGTACCCTCTGCTCTGGCTCAGGTGCATGACTTGGACTCCTAGCCGCTACCTAGTGACATAAAGTGCTTGGCAGTGCAGAGGCTGAGTCCAGGGTTGGCGTTTTCACAGCTTGGTGATCAGACCTACTTGGAACTTGGTATTTTTGCCTCATGAGGAAGTCTATAATTTGAGTTTAATTTTGTTTTGAGTGAAAACAATTTAAAAATTGTCCATGGAGGGAGAAAAATCAGGCTTCTTAAGCGGGGGGGGGGGAGGAGATTGGTAAACCAAAATGTTTTGTTTAGATGGGAGAGCTTTTTTTTAAAAAAAATCCAAATTTTGTATAATACAAGAATATTCCCAAGTGAAAAAATATAGGTTTTCTACTCCAAAAAGTCATTATTTTTTTCTTCCTCAGATGCTCCTTTCCCCCAGGCCATGCTAGGAATAATGCTTTCTGATGGGAACAAATTCTGAAAGTTTCCAATCAGTTTTCATCTTACCTTGTTGCTTAAGAAAGATTTAGGAGCATGTAATGACCCCTGTACAGTCAGGTGTATTTTTATGCTTATATTTTGACATCAAGCCAGGGCCTGGCATCTGAAGGCCAGTCACAACACACATCCATCCCAATCCAAAGTAATTAGAACATCCAGCTTTCTAGACTAGCTTTTCTGTTTAGAAAACAAGGCTAATTTTAATGCTGATCATCACATCTGGAAATTATTTGCATATTTTTCATGTTTTTCTTTTGATCAAAGACAGCTGAATGGGAAGGGTGTTATCAGACTGGCTCACATATGCATTCTTTTTAAATCTCTTTTAGGGATTATATTTTTTCCTCTGACATACTCACAGCAGATCCTTCAAGTGAAAGAAAAGGTAAGAAAAAAAATTAAAAGAACTAAAATACTGGAAAGGTGAAATATCCACGCTGGACAACAGTACTGTGCAGCTCTATGACAGGAGCGGAAATAAAGCAGTGATACCTTTTTAAAAATTGTCCTTTAAGCATGGGCAACGAGCTGTTCCAGAGTCAGGAGCAAGTAAAAGATGGTTGCAAGGGCCGGGTTTGAGGTTTGTAAATCATGAGGTCCTCAGGAACCTGGTGCCAACAGTAATATTTCTGCTAGTAATTCTAACAGGAAAGTGGGAAAAGGACTAATTAAAAAAATACAGAAGTGCTCTTTTTTTGCAGCACTGGCAACTATACATCAACAGCATGAGCCTGAATAGTAAAGCTAACCAGACACAGGCAAAAATAACCAATCTCCTTTCCAAGGAAGGTCAAGCATTAAAAGAAAATAGACAACACCAACTGCAACCAGGAAATAACTCTGTTGGTTTTAATATTTTCATGGATTATTTGCAATGTAGGCAAGGGAATTAGGTTTCTTTGAAAAAAAAAAAAAAAAGGATGTTACCACATTGGTGTACTTTAAGACCTGTGAGACATCTTAACATCCTCCTCTCTTGTCCTTCTGCTTAAAGGCGTGAAAACTGAGCCACCTATTTAGCAAAGTGCTTGGCATCACCAAGATAAGGGTATTTGAGCTCCCTTGCAGGCTCAGCTTTCGTTTCAGTGGGGCTGGTTCTGATCTTAGGGTAGCAACAAGGACTGTCTCTTGCAGTCAGACTGGCAAAAACAAAGTGTGTGCATGCATGAGACCCCAGACTCAAACCCACTAAAACTACTTTGGCTCTTGGTTTCCTGCTGCCCCTCGCAAACAACCCTGATTTTTCCATTTCCCTCCAGCTCAAAGAAAAGGGGCGGAGGGAAATGGAATGAAAATGGAAAAGCCAGAAAAAACACCTCCCTCCCCCCACCAAAACAACCCATATCAGCTGTCTGATAGATTCAAGGCTTTGATCCTCTATTTGCACAGAAAGGAAGACATATGGCCGCTAACTCCCATTGCACAGGGCTGGGGGTTTCCATAAAGCATCAGTGGACAGATAGGGTTAGTTTGAACACAGATTGCATACCTGTTGCCCTCCTTCTGGAGGGCTGTGTATGTACCACAAGAGTAACAGCTGCCAGCCCTGGAGTTCACAAAAGGGACCTGTGCCAGGACAGAGCCTGGCTAGCTGCAGTCCGGTGAGTGCCTCTGACTCGCATAAAGCTTGAGGTCAGCCTGAACTTCCAAGCATCTTCAAGACAGTTCCTGGATAACGGGGACTTCCAAGCATTGGCTGGGACGGATAACTGTTTTATTTCCAAGAGGATGGTGAGCGAACAAGACAACACTCTTGGTCAGGCAGCTGTAATGCAGGATACAGCTCGGAGTTTAGAGCAGCAAAGCCAGGGCTTATACAGCGCAGGAGCATCTGTCCCTATAGTTATGCACGTGCTGCTGCAGGCATGCAGGGGCACTTTCTAGGAACTGGTGCTTTCTTCTGTCCTCCAAGCATGACAGAAGCTGGGGGCACACAGTTCAAAGGGTACTTTTTAAAAAAGGAGGTATAAACTGAAACAATTTATTGGAACACAGGGTTGTTTCATCAGGGGATGAGATGGAGGAAAGAAAAGGTTCAAGCTTTGAGGAGTAAATTTGGGTGAGAACAGGCACCATTTTACTCTTTTGAACACTGTAAATAATTAAAAAAAAAAAAAGACCAAATGGCCACCCTCCCCTGTCCCTCCCTCCCAATCCCAAGGCTTGCCTTCACATCATGCTCTTCCTGTACTGAGACTGTGAGCTCTGTTTGGGTTTCGAGTCCGACTGCTGCAGTTCGAACTGTTTGTACAGGTCCCTCAACTCTTTGATCTCCTGCAACACCCTCTTGGCTTGGCTCCAGGTGGAGGAAGCCTCCCCCAGCAACCTCTCCGATTCCTGCAGGATCCTTTCAGAGTCTGACTTGGAAGTTGATGAGGATGAAGAGGTGGTGGTGGTGGTGCTGGTGTTGGAATCCTTGGTCTTTCTCTTGCCTTCCCCATAGCCCTTCACCTCTGTCAGCAGTTCCTGAGTTTTTTCCAGTTTTAGTGCAACCAGTTCTTGTATCCGGGACAGCTGTTCTGGTTCTGCTGAGGCAAACTGAGCCTCCAATCCCCTCCTCAGCACTGCCCGGTGCGTGGAAGAGTCCCGTCGAGACAGGATTTCTTCCATGGAGGCACATTTGTTCTTTTCTGAGAACGAGAGCTTTTTGGGGACCTGTGGAGTGTACATGGTCCCTTTGTCAAAGGAGTCGTTGCGCTGCCCTGATCTGTCCCATGAGGTCACCTCCCGTCTCGGGAGGCTCCCTGTCCGGCCTTTCTCTGACTTGACATTCTCTGAATCGGAGCGGTGCCGGCCAGCAGTAAGATGAGCCACTGACTTATCCAGGTCCACCCGGAAGCTCTCCTCACAAGTGCTGTGATCCTCTGGAGAGGCGTCTTCCTCCTGGATCAGGTCAAGCGTCAGCATGCCATCAGAGGTTGAGGTAGATGCCTAAAGAAACAAGAAAAAGATCTGTGTTGTCACAGGACCAGGCATGGTTGCACACTACTTTTGAGTGTCTCTTATACTGAACATATGCGTCAGCTGTGCTTGGGTACAAAGATGGACCGGGAATAATAGCAAGTGTGACCTAATGAGAGAGGCCCAGGAGTGCTGGGGTTCATGTTTCTAGCTGAGATACAGATCAGCTGCATGGCCCTGGACAAGTCATCTGTGCTAACCCACGATTCAATTCCTCAGGAAGAAGGAGCATTTTGTTTTCAGCATCAGGAAAACGGGCATCAATGATAGCAAAATATCACTTTACAAAAGGGGTTCCACAATGCAATGGTCTACAAGAATGCAGGACTAGATCTGATGCCCCAGGAGAGCCCTGAGTCACATGGCAATTTTCAGTTCAGGCCAGAGCTCAAAAATGCCAGATCTTCTTACCTACTTATAAATGAAATAGATAAAAGGGAATTTTACCCAAACAGGTGCCTGAAATTCATTATACATACCACAGCCATCAAATGTCCCCGTGTTGGAGGGCGTCGGGAGTGCTGTATTTTTGCTCTGTCACGTGTTGGGTGAGCAAGGTAGCTGTCCTCTTCAACAGTCACCTAAAGTGGCGGCAAAGGCTAGTGAGTGCCTGGAGTATGGGAAATATGAGCCGTTCCTAGTTTCTGTAGCTATTGTCAGCCAGATGCATTGTGGCAGATCATGTATTCCTCCAGGTTTCCCTTTCTCTTGTGACCTGCCCATGAACCTGAGGGTGAACTTCCCCACATACCTATGGACCAGGATCGTTTGCCGAAGATTGTCAAGCAGGAACCCTAACTGGGCAGAAGCTTGGGTTGCAAACAGTGAATCCCGCACTCAAATACAGCATTTGCAATTTGCTGCTGGCAACTATAGCAGCCCACAAATGAAAATAGCTTTGCGCTGTGAAATAATTGCATTGGTAGCAAAATTCTGTAGTGCAAATGTTTGCTGAACAGGAGGAGAGTTGTGATAAATATCTGAACCAAACCTAGCATTGAGCTGGCACGGTGAGGGCAATCTGTTCCCTGTGTGCTAACTCACTGGACTCCTTTGGCTGCAGAGCCATGCTAGGGTCGTGCCTGGGAGCATGACCTGACCGGTTGGTGTTACTGGACGGCCACAGTCCATAACTCTCTCCCTAGAAAGCATGCCCTGGCACACGCAGAACTGCTAGGTTTGGTGGTTGTGAGGGTCATCAGTGGCCCAAGACTTGTAGCTGAGATTCACTGATCTAGGTGTTCACAAGAATGCACGTGAGGTGACCTTCCACTGGAAGGAGATTTGCAGAGCTGTAGAGCCACCTGGGAATAGGGTGTGGAATTCCAGGTCTCTGTCAGAGCTTTAGAGGTCTGGAAGGTCTTGGAGAGTTTCCCTGGTCTGTCCCCTCTGTACCTTGATGGGATCAGATCTACTTAAGTCGTTCCTGACGTTTATCTGTTGAATCTATTTGAAAAGAGTGCAGTAACAAAGACTATTCATCAAGCAATCCACATGGTTGCTTTGTTATGCTGCTCTTTGCTATAAAGCTTTTCCTCTAAGGTCTGACCTTAGTTATCCTTCATTACAGGTTCTGTGTTGCCATCCATGAGAGCAAACAGCATCACAGCAGTGGGCTGCCTGTGTTGCAGTAAGTTGAATGTGGACAAGCTAGATCTGAGATACAAGTGTAAACTGAAAAATAGGTGGCAAGATGGCATTAATGTGAAACAGTGTTGAAATGCTTTTTCAAACTGCTGCTCTGGTAGCAAGGGACATAGCCATCTCAAAGGAGTTCTCCTTCAAGCCGCAACAAACTACATGGGGATGCTTGCACTGATCTAAACTTGGCCTCTGACAGCTCTAGTTGTGGTTATAAATGTAGACCTTGTCTCCAGGAAGGGGTTGAACTGATATTGCTTTATTTTTTTTCCAGCAGAAACTGTTTTGTATAATTGTGATAGCTACTTGGGAGGTTTCATGCAGTAATAATGCTGCCACTTTGGAAGTGGTAGAAGCTTAAGCTTTGCTTGAACATGTCCTCTTGCAGGCAGAGCTATGGCTGTTCCAAAGAGTCCTCCTATTGCTATCACACAGCATCCTGATGGCTGGTGTCTGATCCTCTGCATTTTTTTCACTAAATGGAGAGTCTGACTTGTCCTGACAAAAATACACGTGCATTTTAGGGCTCAAAGCCCCATTCTGAGTTAAACGAAGGTCATACAGAGCTGAGAAGACTGGATTAAAGATTTCTGGTTTGACCCCTGAACATAGAAAGGGATCTGAAATGTTTAAATGTACAGGAAACCCCTTTCCTTCCACTAAAGCGCTGGAAACATGCATAAGATAAATAAGAATTTGGTTCTCCATCTTTCTTGTAGAGAGTGATTCACAGAGGAGAAGGATGGGTAGGATGAATATGGACTGCGGTGGGTTGGACAGATGGTACCATGCTATTAGGCTGCTCTGAAGATAGCATAGGACTATATTGTTTTTCAGTTAATTCCTTAATTCAGTTCCACTACTTAAATCTCCTTTTTAAACAAGCGCACACTGTGTGTTCACCCAGGAGCCAGCGAATGGGAGGAAAGACTCTCAAAAGCCCTGCCAAACCATTCAAAACATAGTCCCACCATCCCTGTGCAAGGCAAGGCTGGGCTCCAAAGTGAAGGCACCTTACTTGGCTGTGCCGGAACTGCCCTGTGCCATTGCTTTGCAGTCATTGCTGCATATTGATCTCCTGGCTGGGGGAATCGGACTATTCCCGGTAAGTGGTGATGGCTGTGTTCTGCCTGCAGTCTGTAAAAGCTCAATGGCTTTGTACTCCTTTTAAAAAGGAAATGGAGAAAGTTGCAGGGGCTGCTTCTATCTCCTGCAGTCTAAAATGTTCACCCGAGACTGCAGTTGAGGCAATGGAGTCTGGGTCCAGCCCTCAGAGCTCACCTCATCTAGGATGCGGTTTTTAGCGCGTGTGATTGCCGAGTTGAGGGCATTAATCCAGGACTCTTTCTCTTCTGGACTCACAGCCAGGAAGATCAGGTTTGGTGCCTACAAAAGAGGGAATTATGGTCAGTGCCAGTGACTAAACCCATACAGAGACTAAACCCATACAGAGACTAAACCCTTTCACGCTGTCCCTGCCCACAGCAAAGCTACAGGGCCTTTACAGCTGGCTTCCCTTTGCGGGAAAAGGCAGAGCAGACCTGATCCTCCAGTCATGCAAAACAGCACTGGTCTACCACACACATTGCACCTGGCCTCTCTGCTTCTCGGCAGGCCTTTGCAAAGCCGACCATGATTCCTCCCAGTAGACAGCTTTTCAAACAAAAAGCTGTGTACCAAATTTACTTCCCTCGTGGCTGCAGTTCCTCCTTCCCCTTCTCTGTCTTCCCACACACTATCCTAGATTTTGCCCTCATCAAACAATGAGGCAGCCGTTCTGTGCATCTGCTGCTCACATGTGATATATCTACTGCCACCTCAGACTTTGACAGAGTCTGGAGTTAGACAAGCACATAGAGTAGGCACCCACAGAAGGAGCTAGATTTTTCATACCTTGATGTGTCAGATGCACACTGAGGGCAGAGCAATTTTGAAAATATGGTCCAGGATCCTTAGTTTTTTGAACCAGATACTCTGTAGTTTTGGCACCTCAGCATTTTGTTCAGTTGCCTCCCTTGCTCAGGGTGCTTGGGGACAGTGTAGCTGCTGTCTGTTTTCCCCTGCTCTCTTCCCTTTTTGCATTTCTATGTTGTTATAGGTTACTTAGCAAAGTGCAGGGTAGGAAAGCTTGGTCAAGCCAGAGTGAAGAGTGTAAATCCAGTTCATGTGCATGCCTGTAGGTGTGCGCATGTGTGTCAAATACTGCTGCTAGCTAGAGACTGTCCGCAGTGGCAGCTGACACCACCTGGAAAGTCCCTATCCTCAGTAGCAGTGATCTGGCTCTGGCACTTTTTAGCTTGCTGCTGGGCAGGAACTATTCTTGGGACAAATTTGCTTGCAGCCTTTTTTGATGCTGCCTGAGCCTGGGCAGTAAAACTAAGGAGCATCAGCATCCCTCCCTCCCTGGCGTCCCCCGTGAATAAACAAGTCCAGTCAGCTAAACCACAGCTGTTGGGAGTGGCAGCACTAAAATTGCTCTAGCCTTGCTCCTGACAAATGTTCTAATATCTTTCTTGTCCTGAAGTCAGAGTACTCTGAGCTGAATGGATCCAAACCCAAATACTTGGTCTTATTTAGCTAGTATACCAGAGACCTGAATCCCCTCCCAGCAGAAAACCTGCTTCTCTGTCCAGCCCTCACTGTTGCAATCACTCCTGCTGCGGTAAATAGAGATTCATATATATTAAACCAAGAGACATGATCTGGACTCCTAGACAACTCAGGCTGTCCAGTTTCACCCCTCAATTATTGCGTCAAGTCCAATAGCTCGTGACAGGCCTAAAGCAGAACACCAAGAAAGGCTCCAACGGCTATTGGCTTTCTGGGGGCGACCACGTGCTCGAGAGCAGAGCGTACCGTGTTTCCAGGCTGTCTGGAGTGGGCAAGAGTAAATTTGCTGTGGTTCTTTTTACTTCTGCTTTTGGACTTCCTGAGCTCTTCGCATTTCTCATAGTCGCTCAGGTCAAACATTTCCTGCATGTTTTTTTCATCTTTCACCTGCAAAACAAAACAAAATTACAACCTTGCAAATGTCTGACAGAGGGGCTACAGACAGTCAGTAACAGGGTTGCTGCTCCAAGCTGGTGGGATGCCTGGCTGGAACCGTTGGCTGTATAGGGAGTTTGCATATACTGAATGTGTGGTGGAGCCTCTGGTGTGTTATGTGGTCATTGAGATATTGTGCAAGAGTCTTCCACCAAAGGCACAAGTACAATAATAGCAACTGTAACAACAGTGCTATTATTATGCTACACTTGATTTTGAGAGGGAGAAGCTGAGGTTTTCTACAAGATAGCTTTGACTTGAGTCCCTTCTGGAATGAGGGGGACATATTTAGAAAGATAACTTGAAAATCACAATCTCCTAGGTCAGTTCCTGCTTTGCTACAGATTCCTTTGGGAATCCTAGGCTAGTCAATTAACTGCCTCTGCCACCTCCAAGGTTACTGGGGCTGGGCTGAACTGACATGCAGGTGTGAGCTGACTTTTCCCTCTATATTTATGGGCCCTCCAAATAAATAGGATTTACACCAGCAGGAAGGAGAGGACCTTGTCTGCTAGGAGGAGGTTCATGCAGAGGCAGGAGACTGTGGGAGGAGGTGTGCTTTCATCTGCTGATTACAAAGGGCAATCGTATTAGTGCTTGTTGCTTTTCTGGAGACAGTACAACAAAAGTTTGAGGGATAAAGATTAGCACTTCCTATTTTTAACCTGACGGTATTACTGAAGCCTGTGCTGACAGCTGATTTGGGGGGTGGATGAAGCACATCCAGTTCCAGATTACTGACACGATGAATGTGCCGCACTCCCCTGCTGCTGAGTCTCATCCACTGCGAAGAGGGTATGAGCAGACTTGATCAAGGCACCAGTGACTGCTGAGACCACAGGTTTTGGCAGCCTGGTTGCTGGGCTTTCACTGCTGGGTGGCTAGCCAGGCCCCTGGAGACCTTCAGCAACCGGGTGATTCACAAAAGTTTTCAAGAAGGAAGAATGCTAGGGTTTAATTCTCACTGACAGAAACGCTTCTTGGCTTTTATACAGTCACCATCGGCCATTTCACAGCTTTTAAGAAATCTCTCCTCTTCCACCTCCATTCCCCAACGCTTCCTCTATTAGATGTGGTGTGACAGGCACACACAGCTATAGATAAGTATTACAGAGGCGTAGATTAAAGATGTAACCTGCACAGGGTCATGAGGTCGGTGGCTGAGCTGGGGAGGAAGCCAGGGAGGGATCTTGATAGGAGTCTGGCAGGGGGCACTAACCTGAAGGTGTCCTCACTCAGGGGACACTTGGAGTGGAGAAGAGAACCTGCAGCCTGTCTCCTGCCTGGCCCCATCTAGTTTTTATACAGCCTTCCTTTTCACTGTTATCTTTAGTGTGCTAGCCTCACACCCCGCTCATATGGCCGGGCAGCCCTACTACTTCCATGGTAAGCACAAGGAATATAGGTAACTGGGATGGGGGAGAACTTGGTTTCCAATATGCACTAAGGACAGAACTGTAGCAGGCTCAAATCCATGTCAATCGGTGCTTAATCTGCCTCCAACCTGGGTCATTATAGGCTGGGATTTGCAATGGAGTTTGATTAACTTAGGTGCCAGAAAGGCAGACAGTGCTGAGTTCTTAAATCTCGGATTTCTTGAAAGGACTTGAAAGTGGGGACCACTGAAAATATTTCCTATGACTTCTCCATAGAACTTAAGCAAAAGTGTCACCAAAATGCTGTAACCAGCTTTCTAACCAGAGACACAGATGAACTGATGATCTGACCTTGTATAAGGACTGCAGTTCCCTCTCTTCCCTTCCCCCTTCTATCCCTGCACTAGGGTGCAATCATGGTACATACCTGTTCTTAAAGCCCCAGAAGCTACTGCTTATTTTTTTCTCAAAGCAAAAGCCACTGTGCATGGGCAGCTATTCTATGAACAAACACAGAAGCCTCTTGTGCACACGCACACATCCATGTCTATATATCCCCCCTGTGTATTCCTAATCGGCTTTTATCTCTCCTCAGTACTATCCTACAATCCACCTCTTTCCAAGAATCTTGGCTGAATTCAGCCCTATTCATTTGCAACAGGAAAAGCTGATCCCATCTGAGCCCCCAGCTGTGACACAGTGGCTGAGGCAGAAGTCCTTACTCCAGATGTTTGCTCATGTAGGTCACTGGGACTTCCCCAGCCCTTCTTCCTTTCTCAGACACAGAGAGTCTGTATCATGAACTCATGGGAGCTGGGACTGAAATATCTTGCCTCTAGGAACAGCCACAGGGGTATGCAGAAAGGAGGTGGGTAACTGGTTCAGATAAACGTCCTTAAGGTGTAACTATTCCTTTAAAAGGCTTGGATTAACAAGCGCCAGGGCTTTAACTATAAGACCTCTCTCTCGTCTACATACAGACATGCACGCATGCACAGAAAGAGGGACGGGTTACTAGAGACCCTGGTGCATAGACAGTATGATGCTCCTGCCATCAAACCATGGCACATACGTGCATTGACTAGTTATAAAATGTATCCCTGATTAAGAGTAAGCATATCTATTTGCATGAAGGAACGATGTTGGGTCTCATTTCTGTTCGAGTTTCAGACAAGGTAGCACCAGCTCAAAGGTACTTTGTGGGGGTGGGTAGATGCCTGAATACCATTAAGGATGTGGGCCTAAGTGACTTAGGTGCCTAAGGGTACGTCTGCCCTTCAGCCAGAGCTGAAGCCTGGGGGGAAAGGTAGGTTTGTGCTCACTTGGAATTAATTCCCTCTTGTACACAGCCTTGATAGCATAATGAGGTCATAAAGTGAATGGGGCTGTAATTTATAGTCGTCTGAAGATGGCTTTGTTCTGCCAGCATGGTATGAAGAGGTCTCAGCATCAGCCTCAAATGGGCTCCATAGCAGTGATGTAATGGCAGCGATTTCACAAGATATGAGAAGGATCACGGTCGAGTCTCACAAGGGGCCTTGCCAGCTGATCCCCCCTGCACTGAGACTTCCAGGCGGAGAACTAAGCAGCAGGCAGAATAAGAGGATTCAGTGTGCAAACAGTGAGACGGGAGAGAAGGGAGGTGAAAGGCAAACTTCAAAAGTACTAGCCAGCTCTTTTCCTCCGTTGTAGGAAGCCTCCATTGAGGCCAAAAAGGAGGAGGGTGCTGGGCATGAGTTACAGAGTAGAGCAACCTCGGAGACAGAAGAGCATGAGTGTGCAGAGGCCCGAGAAGGATAGTCATGCATCCTGCCCTCTTTTTAAAAAAGTAAATAAAAAAAATCTGCTGGAACTTCACTGTCAGCCAAGCCTAAATCACTGTCACCTACATCAATAGGGGGTGGGTGACAACCCTTCAGGGTTCCCCCCCTCCACATTTTCAGAGAGATTGGAGCCTAGCTAAGGTGCTCCTCCCCGCTCCGGGGAATGTGTCTCTAAGACTGCTGCAAATATCAATTCTATGTTAAATTGAGCAGGTTCTGATTTGGGAGGGAGCTGCCCTGATTTGCCCCAGCAGAGAATTTGGCCTAACAGCTAGGCACTGTACAGACCTTTGGGAGACTGTTTTGGAGACCTTTTTGGAGGAAGTAGCCTCAGGTATCAGTTCTCAGTGAAAGGGAATGAAGTGCGTTTTCTCTGTCATTCTAAGTGACAGAGGCAGTATACTAGCATTGATCTTCCTTTATGTCATGATGACCTAGCACAGCTCGCTGTGGACCCAGTTTGCTCTGCTTCTGCAAAGGTAATTCTAGTGCTGGAGACTCATGATGATGCTTGTTTGTTTTCTTCCCCTTTGCTGACTGTAGATAGGGCTCAGGTTTTCAAAAGTGAGGGGTGATTTTTACAGCCTCAGATGTTGAACTTGAAACTCCTAAGAACAGGTCTAAACTTTGGGAAGGGCTAAGCATCTCCTCTGAATATAGTCTTCAAGCTGGTTCCCCATCCCCAAACAGTTTGTTTCTTGCTCTCAAACTTGTAGGCGCTTGGGACTTTGGGCTCTATGGGCAGTTAGCCTTATTGAGCAGGGCTGTGAAGTTTCTGCTGTTTAATGCTACGCAGCATTTTGGAAGCAAAAATGGGTGCAAACTCTGAACAGAGCAGATCAGGTAAGGCAGACTTCCCATCTTAGCAAGTAAGGAAATACTAATGACTGTTCAGTTCATGGCTGATAAAAGGAAATGCTGTAGTTTTGGCATCAGGCAGAAGTGTCCCTTTGGGCCCCACAGTCATGGGATGCAGCTGGGTTGGAGAACTTAGAGGCCACTAAAGAGTTTCTATGGACAAGAGAACTTACATTGTTGCTTAGGTCAAATGCAGGACTCTGGAGTTCAGTTCTCAGCTACCCTGCGGCCTTCCTTGGGATCTCAGGAAGATTGTTTAATCCCCCTGCGCTTCTCTAGCTCCCAGGGCCTGGGTTCTACTGCTGCTGCACAGGCGGGTGGCCCTGCCTTAGGTGGGGGAGATAGTTTAAACAGGCTCTCCAGGGCCTGCTAGTTCCTCTTTTCTACGACCCCTTTAAGGGAGTCGAGAAAAAGCTTCTGTGCCTGGGCCAGTGCTTCCTCTTTTGTCCACTGCCTGGGTTTTCACACCTGCCTGTGAAGCAGCTGAACCTCTGTAGAAGGCCTGGCCTGGTCTGGCCTGGGCTAGGCAGACCCGGGGTCATTGCTGATGCAGCAGTTCCTAGGCATGGTTCTTTGAATTCCTTAATGCGAACGTCATTTGTGTTAAGACTGCATATTGTACATCCTTCCATCCTCCTCCCCTTACAAACTGCCTTCCCTCCACCCCCTGCCTCAGCTATTTTTTCCCTGTGCATTCCCTGTCAGCAAAGGTTAGCTGTGAGAACAGGCCCAGGCCAGGAGAACATCTAGAGGGTAATGGCAGCAGTGCTTGGCTCTCAGAGCCCTCAAGGGAGAAGGTATTTTTTGGATCCTGCTGTCTTCATTAGCCTTTCTTAAGGGCTTCCACACTGTGGTCTTGAGGCTGAGATGAATGAGGGACCACTTGGCTTAGTGT